GTCCCCCGCCCGGCCTCGGCCTCTGGGCCTCCGGGGGTGCCCTGAGGGCTGAGGGGGGCAGCGGGGCGCTCGGGAGCCCCTTCCGTGGCCTGCTTCCCCCTTTCCCCCCCCACGCCCTGCCGCCACCTGATTTCTCCCTGTCCTGTAGGTGCGGGACCCCTCTCTTAAGGCCAGAGAGAAAAATCCTAAACACTTCACAAGGCACTACTGCCCCTTTTTTTGGGGTACCTTTCAGATCTGCAAAAGCAAGAGGAGCGCGGAGAGCTGCTGCAGCCACTGACCTTCATCCTACTGGTTTTGTGCTCTGTCCTGCTCTACTTTAAGGTGTCTCTGATGGATCCGGGTTTTGTCAAGGCTGACGAGGAAGTGAAGGTATAGCACTTCAGGAACGGAAGAAAGTGGTGAGGCTGTAACATCTATAGGCTTTTTTTCTTTTTCCCACCCTGCTAGATAAGAACAATCTGAAATAGCTTCTGTTGCACTTGGCATAAAGGAAGCATACACAGACCATTGGAGATTAGGCCGGACAGTTTCTGATTCATATTCTGTAACAGCAACTGGGTTCCCAGACTTTAAGCATCTTTTACACTACACTCCTGTTGTAAGTGCACCATGCCATTTGAGCATAAGTCCTCTCTTGCATCAGAGGCCACAGTACCCTATGGAATGTATACGTGACCTATTTTATGCTAACCACCGCTAAGTGGTACAAGTGCAAAAAAACCCAAACTGAATGGCAAGCTTGGAAGAAAACGCTCTCTGCAGGTCTATTTATCGAACTGTTTATGGATTTGTTGCCCTCTCAGAGGACATGTACACAAACACATTACAGCAAATGGAGATGTAAAGTTTCAGTAACTCAGAGACAGTCTGTGCTAGGTTCACTGCCTTACAGATTATGTAGGACAAAAGCATTATCAGTTTTAATCATCCATCTTTAATGTAAATGTTGGCTGTGCTATGAATAAGTAGCACTGCTTGTACTGAAAAGATACAATTATTTTCTTTGGAAGTGAAGTCTAATCTTGTTTATTTTTGTCCCAAAGCATTGTGTTGGTTGGGATCAGTGCGGTATATTGTCCACAATTATTTCTGCCTCTGTGCAAACATTCTTTTGATGATTACAGTAGCCTGTTCTCTCTCCCTGTACCTTAACTGTCTGCAGCTTCTGTAGGAATTCTAAGGAATGATTTTGTTTAACTTCCCTAACAACAGAGATAACCAGCACTGTGTAACTGTTAAGTAAAAGGATCCAGACAGCTCAGTCTATGCCAAGACAGCAGCACACAAAACCTCCTTAGTCACTCCCTTTCTCTTTTTTTGTAGGTAGGCAAGAGTGAAGAACAAAGCATGGTGACAGCCCAAGTTCCAAGTAATGTTAAGACGCGGCGTTGTGGTTACTGTATGGTGAAGGTAGGCATTCATAACGTGCTAGAAGAGAACAGGATGAGAATTTGCAGGCTTACATTTTTTGGCAACATCTTTGTCCAGCTGCTGCAGCCAGTGTTTTTCTGCTCTATCACTGCTGCTCACCGCTCAGTGGTTTGGAGGCATGGCAAAGCTGATTAATTCTGTCATGGGGTCACCCTCCTGTTGAAAAACTCACAGGAAAAGTAAATACAACTAGCAAATTGAATTCAGATACAGTCCTGAATTGAAAAGCGATCCAAACAAATTGTGTAGCTGAAGGTGTAGTAGTGATGGACATTGGCGTGCATGCTAGTTTTCCAAGGCTGAAACAAGTCCCTTGCTGGCTCATAGAAATGAGAATCTTCTTTTACCATGGGAAAATTGTATTCTACATTCTTACTGCCATGTCAGCACACTTCCTTCAATAGCTATGGTCCTAGTTTTTCACCTGAACACTCTGCTTATGCTTTCCTGAATAGAACAGACTGGCTTTATCTCCCTCTTTTGCACGCTGGACTTCCTATATATAGGTAGATAATAAAGATGTCTAGATAGAAGTAGTGTGGGAGAGGCATCTAAATTTGAATCTCACTCATTTGGGCCTGTACCAGGGGAATCATGATCCCCTTTAGTTGTCTTAGGAGTGTTTATGTTGTGCTGTTATCCCAAAAGGGAATGCTTTTGGGACAGTACTGCTGTGGAGGAAGATGATATTGCATGATGCTCTCTTCTACCAAACAGGGAGTTGAACCAGTGGACTATTGCTAGTCTATGTGTGTTTGGTTTTTGCAGCAACCAATGCGAGCCAAGCACTGCCAGCTGTGCCAACACTGCGTACGGCGTTACGACCATCACTGTCCCTGGATTGAGAACTGCGTAGGAGAGAACAACCATCCCCTCTTCATACTCTACTTGAGCGTCCAGCTTGTAGTTCTGCTATGGGGAGGTCACGTTGCTTGGTAAGGCCTGGAGTCAGCACTCCCACCTCCAAAATTGCTAAAAGTTCTGGTGCTCCTAGAGCCCCACTGAAGGGTTTATAGCGGTGACTGGATTGGCTTTGTATCTTCACCCTCTTTTGCGTCCAGGAGATCAGCTCTAAATCAAACTTCAGGGATTTAGAGATTAGGGATTTAGAGATTAGGGAGCCCCCCCAATCTGCTGTGGAACAATACAAATGATCAATCATTGAGTGGAATTTGATAATTGGGCTTCATTGTTCATCTTTGTTTTAATCTTAAATTGAAAGAATTAACAACAGTGCAAAAGCGAACTCATTTTACTTCTGTTACTGTAATATGATCTTTGTTTACAAATCCAAGTACTAGAAACTCCAGCGGGGTTTCATCTGTATGCCTGTTCAGGAGAGGAGTTGATTGAAGATGATTTTGTGTCTCTCAGCTGTCAGGGGAACCAGCATCTTTTAAACTTCTTAGATTCTAAGTCACTACTGGTGCAGTCCCTTAAGAGTTTATCATACTCTCTGTAGTAAATAATTATCAGAAGCTCACTAGTTATGAATCAAACTTAAATGTGACATTAAGTTTGCTTGGCTTATGTAACTAGTTCTACATCTTTAACCATGAATTTATTTCTCTTTGAATTGAAAGGTCAGGCCTCTACATCGAACAGTCCTGGGACTGGCTACAGCATAACATTCTCCTCCTCATGTCCTTCTTCCTGATCGTTGTATTCACCATTGTTGTCCTGCTGCTGCTTATTTCACACCTCTATCTGATCTCATGCAACACCACCACCTGGGAATTCATGTCACATCATCGCATCTCCTACCTGCGACACTCTGAGTTGGAGAATCCCTTTGACCAAGGGGTAATCCTCAATCTCTGGACATTCTTCTGTTCATGCCGCCTCACTGCATGGGAGAAAATCTATTTTCACAGGAACAGTGAGCCTGTCTAGTCACAGTCATACCTACCTGGGAGAGTGCCAACGCAGCTGCAGGTTTCTGAGTAAAGCTTTGCTAATGCAATTGCTGCTGTTCCCTTGCACGGAACTTTAGTACATCATGAACTCTGCAATGTGTTCCACAACCTGTTCATCCTGCAAATTACATTTAAAGGATAGTCAGGGTTATTTTTTACATATGAATAACACTGTTAAAGGGGAGACACTGGCTCAGGGAAGGCCAGCAGGGCTGATTTCTGGACTGAGCAAAGGTTCCTCTCAAAATTTACTTCCTTTTGCTAAATGCATCCAAGTCTTTCCAGAAGGGATGCAAGAGTATTGTGAGCATCCATGTTTCCTTCTCTTCCCTGAAGTTTCCCCGCTCCTTTTGCTGCTAGGGAACAGCAGCTATTATAGACAAAACCCACCAGAATCAATGTAATTCCTGTGGCCTTTCTTCAACATAGTTCTTACTGTGAGAACCGCAGTGCCTTTTGTCAGTACTGTTGGGCACATAATAGAAATATTTGAGTAAACATTTGGACAGGTAAAAGCAAATTTCATTTTGACCACACGCCTAAACTTTATGCTTTTCACAAAGATTTGAGGCTTAATAGTGTTAATGTGCATGAGAAACAGCAGTAAGGCACCAAATTCAGCTTATGAGATAATTAGCCTGTACTTCGTGATGCCCTGACCAGCTTCCTAACAGTTTTTTCTTTAAGTTGATGGTGGTATTAAAAATTTACAGACTGTTTTGAATGAAGTCAGCAAAGAATGACACTATCTACTTTGAACAGAAAAGTAATACTTGCCTACCAAATTATTTCTGCAGATAATTTCAAGGTCAGACCTTTCCTATAGCTTGTGGGGAGAACCAGAAGCAGAGGTGGGTACTTCTTGCCTAGCTCAAGTAACACTGTTGGTAATACTACTACCTCAACGTACTAGTAAAATTTTAGTAAAAGAATACAGAGTTTCAGTGTAAGAGAAAAGACTCTAGGTCCTGTTTGTTCCATTGAGATGAGGGCGTGCTGAAACTTTCTAGGATAGCAGCAAGCTTACTTGTTTTCCACTGAGGAACGAAAAGGAAGTTTGGGGATGACCAATTTTGGCTTTAAAAACAGAAAAGCCTGTGGTGTGAATTTTAGTCCTCATCCTTTTCTGTTTAAAAAAAAAAAAAAAAAAACACCAGACCAAAAAAACCAGCACCACAGCAAAACCTTAGTTAAAAATTATTTTGTGCCTTAATTGCCTTGGCTCAGGAATTAACACCAGCTCAACAGCATATCTTGCAAGCTGGTAGGATGCACTCAGGGTTTAAAGTTGATGAGTGCTCATGAAAGGACAGTGTACTTACTAATACAGCACAATAGCCCAAAGGCAATTTAAAAACAGCAGAAGGATCCCTTTTTTGACCAATTCCAGAGTTTGTAATCTGTGTCCAGTCTGGTTTGTTCAGGGTAGAAACTCCCATCACAGAGATATCAGACTGCCAAGAATTGTTTTCATAGCAATGGTGTACAGTCCAGGAAGGATTCTGCAGTTCAGGATCATCAGCAGGTATTACAACTCAAAATACACAGTTTTGCTCTGTTTGGTAATTCTTTTTGGAATGCACCAGCCTGGTAATTTACAATCGTTTTACTTTACTATAAACTATAAATTAAAAGATTAAACATGCCTTTTTTGGTTCTTAATGCCTCTCTCTTTGAACCCAAGTTCTCTGTTTCACCTTTGCTAACAATCTACTGTGCTACCTACCACTTCACAGAGGCCTTGACCTTAAGAAAAGTCACAAAACACACTGTAGGGGCCAAGAGCAAGCCAACCATTACTATTCAAACGAGGGTGAGGAAAATGCATATCCTGCTTTATAATGGGCCATTACGCTGCAAGGCAGAGCAGGAGGTTGAAAGGATATTTGTATGTGGGAATTTTCAGAAGCAGTTATACTCCAGAGCTGAAAATAGGGAATCTAGGTTCAGTGTGAATTATTTCTGGTTTGCACAAACATATGCCCTTACCTCTCTGAATTCTGAAGCACTTCGACCAGCCTTGATTTAATAATGATGACTCACTAGCTGGACCCAAACCTCAACTCCACATATAGCACAATTGGGTTAGTTCAACTTCTGTCTACCTCTGTTGCAGACAAGCTGAAAGAGTAATAGCTGTGCGTCCCTATTTGTTGTCAGTGTGCTGCTTCATTTCTAGATACCCTTCCTTTTTTTGCCCAACAAGCTAACATTATGAATTTAAGAGAAGAAAATTTATCTTATCAAGTATAATTACAAGATATCTTACCAGGCAAATTAAATCACCTTTAACTTACTGATTTTCCAATATTAAGACTGTCATTTAGCTATCCCAAAAAAGATACGGGATATACAGATTGATAAAATCTGTGGAGAGACAACTTGACTGCAGTCATATGTGACAGCTGATGACACCACACAATATGTACACAGATGACTTAAGTTAGAAGGAAGGAAGAAAGAAAATAGTACTATTGACATTTACAGAGAAAAACAAAATCCTGCCTGTTGAGCAGAATAGCCCTAATCTGAAACATGCAGCTAACAAAGGAGATGAAAAGCCAAAATTTCGTTATAAGGAAAGGTATCTTTATTTTTAAAAAAAATAGCACGTGCAAAGCTGTGGCTTTTTTGTATCATTAAAAACAATAGCTAAGATTTAGCATCCTCAAAGAAGTAGAGACTTCTTTTCCTTAAGATAGATCACTTGGGATCACTATCAAACCCAAACATCATTATCTCGGTTGTGTTAAAATCCATTCCTTCTCTGTCACTCACATACTTTTAAGTGGGAATGGGCATAAAATCATTACAAAGAGGGAATGCTGCATATCTTTTCTAGAAAATAGGTGAGAAGTAGCCATTCCCCCTCGCTACTACGCAACTTAAAAAAGCCATGCTACTTACTTAGGCTTTTTGCAAAGAGTAATCTGGGTTGCAGAGATGACTTGATTTCATTAAATTAAGTCCAGCTTAAATTCCAAATTTCCAGCTATATTCAATGGCAGCAGAAGATACATCCAGTCAAACATTACTTATTCCTTAAAGATAATTGACATCCAGTATACCTCCAACAAAGGCTGAAAAAGACACAGTAGTTAACTCAGCTTGCAGGGCACTCTCATCCTGGGGTCTACCAGTTCCAGGAATTCTGTTGACTTTTCCATTGCCCATGCCAAGTCCTCTCTACACTCTCTCAAGGTGGTAGCAATCTGTTCATGTTTCTTATAGCACAAGAATCAAACATCTAAAAGGTGTCTGGAGACAAAGTCAAAGTCCTTGAAGATAGTCTGCTCCTTACGGGTTAGGAAAGCAACCTCCTCTGGAGGAGTAAGGATTGGCTTTTGTGATGTAAACTCTTCATCAAAGTTGCTAATGTCAGTTGGATCTCTTAAAGTGGGCACAAAAGGGGGCTTCAGAGTCCTGGCAAGCAAGGCATCCCAGTCAATTTCCTGTAAGAAGAGGAAGCAAACAGGCCAGATTGACATTAAGATTATTTCTGAAATATGAAAGTAAGAGCAAAGATTGCAGCCTCCCTTCATTTTCAATATGTCTCATTTTTTCTAATTAAAAAAAAAAAAGGAGGGGGGGGGGCGGGGGGGGGGTGGGGCAGGGGGGAGAGAATTGAAAAAAGGCCCAAAACAAACAGCATGGTCGGTGCAGGCCAGGTAGTACAGAGATTCAATACAGTCTAAGGCTGTTCTTCAGAACACCAAGAAACGAAGTTACAGCTCAAACTATATTTAGGAGGGAAAAAACTAAAGTGCAGCAGTGGCCAGGTGGATATGTGGACTTCCCAGCAATTTCTGCTGACATCCAAGTTATTTTCTTACTCCAGTGCAAAGCCAGCCAGGCAACTGGCAACTTCTGGCAGATGGGTAACAACAAGGAGGAATAGTAACATCTTTGCCTGGACTGTTCCCTGTATGTATACCCTTGACCCAAAGCAAATGTGTCTTTAACCTCAATTTCTCTTAGAATTCATGTATATCCTGCAAATGCAGATGCCATCAGACAGACTGACTGGCAATCACTGTCATTGCTAGACAGCACCTTTGACTGCTGCAGTTTGATTTAAAAAGGGGTGTTTGTTGATAGCTCAAAAGGTAGTATATTTGTACACAGGAGCAGCACACTCAGAAATAACAAACTGGCTCTGGAAGCTTACAGATACTGTAAAACACACTTGGGAGATGTAATTTCAAACATGAACTGAAACACAAATTCCTGAATAGACCAAAGAGGTGCAATGCAAGCTACCACTAAGATCTCACTGATAACTAATGGAAACACGCCTCAATACCACGAGAAAGGAGATCACTCTCAGCTCAAACACAAGAGATGAGGGGGAGGGATAAAGTGAGTTCCTACCTTAAAAAAGGCCTGGATTTTAATCTCTTCTGCATCTTTTTCCCCTGCTCCCAGTCTACGCTCTGGACATTTCCGAAGAAGCTGCAGGAAATATCAACTTAAATTAAACATACCAACAAAAATTAAACAACTAGAACAAGGATGGACAGAAATAATGTTCCAGAGAGAGAAACAAAAGGAAGGAGATGGACTGACGCCTCAGTATCTTCTCATTCTCACTTTGCAGCAAAGTCATAATCTGCTAGTAATAGCTCAGACCTAGTTCCTTACAAACGGCTTGCCAACATCAATAAGATACCCACTATAAATCACATGAAGCATCTCATCTTCATTGTTCACACACCTTTGACTATTGGGTCACACTCAAAAACTGAATCACATCAACTTCACTGAATGACTCTGACATTCCTGCCCTTGAATCAACACTTCTCCATTTCAGACTTAGCAGACCTCAGTAAGAAGCCTGTTTAGTCATCCTTAGACAGAAGAACAGCATTTATGTAAAGAAAAGGAAAGGAAAAATACATGTAAATTTCAAATGTTTCCTTACTCTGTGTAGGTGGCTCCAGATTACACACACAAATGCTAACCCGTCCTAATAGAGGCCCTCTGGATTCACTTACACAGTAAATGCAGACTCCTCAGACTCCCAGAGACCCATCAAGCCCATTACCTTGCGGATTATAGACAGTGCCTCAGATGAAAGGAATCGTGGATACCGGACTTCATCGTTGACAATACTGTCAAAGACTTCTTCCTCATCATCTCCAGGGAACGGTGACTGCAATTGTGACATGTTACTAGTTAATGCACATAGCACCCATTCCTCGCTATTAAACAAGGATGAGAATATCAGGGAGTTGCATGGGTTAATTAGCATTTGGCAAGCACTATGAATGAGAAAAGTGTAAGTTAAGTACTAATAGTTGGCTACATTCAGCAAAGTTTTATCTCAGGTGGTCAGGTACTACTCTGCCAAGACTGCTTAGTGAGATCCTCTTAGAGAAAGGTGGTCTTACCTCACCAACAAGCATCTCATAAATGAGTACACCCAAACCCCACCAGTCTACTGCTCGAGTGTATGAGATGTCCGTCAGGACTTCTGGAGCCAGAAATTCAGGGGTACCACAGAAGGTGTTTGTGCGGTCTCCAAAGCCTATTCCTATAGGAAAAAACACACTTCTGTAAAATCCAGCACACGTTACTCAATGGATCACATGCAATCTCACTTTCTGAAAGCCGTAGATTATCACTTGGTAATCTGATGTTGTTAACTGGGCAAGAGCTCTCATCAATGCTTGTAAATGCCAATAAGGAAGTATGAAACCTGAGGCCTCTAAAAACTCCAAGTAAGAAATATAAAGACAACACTTAAATAAACAGCAAACCCACAGAAACTTCCTGCGGATTCCATTGATCATTTACTCAAGTACATATTTTGTAGTACCCTACATTCTGGCTTCTTTGAGCAAACAAGCACATTGTAAACTCCTTCATAAGTTTCCTGAAGAGGAAAGGACGAAGTACTCTTTCCACGTTCATCATGACCAGACAGGTGAGGTTTTTCTGTTGTTTAGTTTGTTGGGGGGTTTGTTTTGGTTTGGTTTTTGGTGTATTTTGTTTTAAGATGGGGATGAATAGGAGTTACACACAGCCACCTCAGTACCTGTATTTGTGAACACTTTACTGAAGCCCAGATCCTAAACTGGTCCTGATGGTTCAATTTTGGCTTCACCAAAGTCACTCACCTTCCTTACACAATCCAAAATCTGCGATCTTCACAAATCCTTCAGCATCTAAAAGCAGATTATCCAGTTTCAGGTCCCTGAAGGCAAAGGAGAGGAAAGAAAATGGTAGATGAAGTCTGAGGATTGCCATCCAACATTTTTTTTGCAAGAGATGTTAATAAAGAGAATAAAATCTAAATTGAGTAAAGTCTACATTTGGTTTCAATAATGTATTATTTGGAAGATTCCCCTTAATTTAATGGTATTTCCTTCTTAATGAAAGGCTCACAAAGCAGCTTAGAGTTGGGTGGGGTTTATTCACCTGGAAAAGAGCATCCTACAATAGCATGACAAATTACTTGACTATCACAATAAAAAAGAAAGCAGTGACTTACTGGTGCCCCCCAGAATGTACTGACATGTCACAGAGGACAAATCAACTGCAACATGTCAGATGAATAACTTCTAGATGACTTTCTTTTACAGTAAGCACGATGAACATGTTGATAGCAACAAGCAATGGGGAAAATAAAGACACACAGAAAGATTAGAAAGCCCAGCAGAATAGTGAGCTCCAGACATATAGCTATAGGAAAAATAAACGTTCAAGTTGCTGAACTGTCTTATACTTTATTCTTGGCTGCATTACCTATAAACAATTTTCTTCTCATGCAAGAACTGGAGCCCCAAGACTACGCAGGCTGTATAAAACCTAGAAGAGAGAAATAATTATCAGGAAATATCTATGAGAACCAAGTAACAAATTTGTAGCACCTGGAAACTAGACTAATTTTAACTCACTGTGCCACATGCTCCGAAAAGACATCTTCATGTATGCGCATCATAAGATCACCACCTGGAGTATATTCCATCACGAAACAAGCATGATGAGGTGTCTGGAAACATGCAAACATGTTCACAAGGAACGGATGATCAGAAGAATTGACCACCTCAAATATTCGCTTCTCACAGTTCAAGCTGCCAGGATTCAAAGAATGAAAACGTCAACGTTAAAACTTGGCAGAAAAGCCTGTTTTGAGAAATAGAGGATGAAGAAGAAAATCTTAACATCTTATGTTAGAAAAATAAAAAGTGAGGGCTAATACCATATTTATCTTTCTTACTTCCAAACCTTGAGCTTTAGAGTGTTCTTCAGGTGTTATTCCACCAGAAGCTAGAAAGCAGTGCTGTTATAAATTTCCTTATTCTTGATTTTAGTTACCCAAGCCTTAAAGTCACATTTAACCTTAATAGTACCACAACCAGTACACATCATACCTACTAACATTTGATTACAGATGTGTTAATGTAGCCTCTGGCAATAGTACCATCTCTAAACAAAGCTCACCTATCAATTTCATCTCTCCTAATAATATCTTTTTTCTTCAAGGCTTTGATAGCATACAGCTTCCCAGTTCGTTTATATTGGGCCAACAGTACCTGAAAGACAACAGAAAAGCTGTACTTCAAATAAATCTGTTATTTCCTCATTGGATTACTCTGACTTCCATCGACACAAACTATTTCCATCCACTCCAGACAGTCATTCTCAAAACTAAGCTCAAGTAACTCCAGAAATGGAGCACTTTTTTTCTGCTGCTTGCACTGCAGCAGTCCAGAAGGATGTCAATGTAAGTTATATCCTCTTCACAAGCAGTAGCATCACAGCTGGCCAAGTGCTTTATGAGCACCCCAGAGCTCTCACAGCATGCAATTATGCACACAGTTTTTGGGAACGGAGCTATTCCACTAGTGATCACAATGATAATGAAAGGAATGGTAATTACATGCTTTAGGAAATGACTTAGCACTCCCTGGATGGTTTTCTCCAGGCTTTGAAGCCACAAATCTTCAGAAGTTTTGACTGTTAACAGGAGTTATCAGCTGCTTGTCTGGTTGGGTTGGGTTTGTTTTGTATATCTGCATTGCAACAAATCTCTTCTGTACTGCAACATTTCTATTCAGACTCTGAGGCAGAGGCCCATCTTCACAGTCACGGTCCTACCGACCTCCTCCACAAAGCATACACTTCTACAGTACCTTCCCAAAGTGGCCACGTCCCAACATAGCGATGCAGTGAAAATCCTCAAGCTGAACTGTCCTTTTCCTGCAGACAAACAAAGAAGTATTGCTGAGGCAATACCCAAAAGATGCATAAACAGGTAACAAAGGAACACATATTCATGTTAAAGGAAGAAGCTCTGTATAGCAAAAGGGAAAGTGAACAGTTGTGTCAACCACTCCTCACCTAGGCTGAAATCCTGAAAACTTAGGCTGGCTGCTGCTGTTCTGCCACTGAAGAAAAGAGCAGGTAACTGTGAGGAAACCGCTCCCAGTGGCAGCAATCTGACTTCCATCTCTGCTGGCAATAGGAGCAACAATTCTGACTCTCCAAGGCTTGCACTCTCTGTTACTTCCCATAGCAGGATTAGTTCCTCCTGGCCCCCATCCTTGGGGTAGTAAAATTCAGTTTTGCCCACACTCCTTTCAGCAGGCTCAACAGCAATTGTGTTAATCAGACACGAACATGTATATCAAGTGCTAGTAGGACAAGGGCATAAAGAGAAGTTCTCAAACAGGAATTGGAAATGAAATGTGGTGAGACAACAGACATAAGATGTTGCTGGAAAAAAAAGTAGCTGAGTAAAGAAATGCTGTAGAGCGTTGTGTCAGCCACAAGGTGTTACCAAGGAAACTAAGGCTGCAGAATTGCTTAGAAAGAGTTTAAAAAAACCAAACCAAAACAACCTACACCCTAAAAGCTTTAGTCCAGGATCATCTTTAAAAGACAGCAGACACTCCATACTCTTCCAGAGAGTGAAATGAAGGGCAAAGTATCTACTCATGAAGGACTCAACTCCCTCCCTCTCAGAGAGAAGGCAGGTAGGTGCCTGACTGCATCCTGACTACAAGGGTTTCAAGATGGGACACCTCAAAAGTGATGATGAAGTTATGAACATAATTCTATGATCTGAATTGCAAGATCAGCTTAGATAGATTTTGCTATTTGCGCTTTTTTGGTCAGTATCTGTTCAACAGCATTAATGGTTTGGTTTTTTTTTTTTTACTTGTCCTGTTTTTGGTGTATTTACTACTGTGTATCCTTGCTACATACAAATTGTGTATATATAACTGCCATAGTCTATAAACAACTTACTGGTTTATGCTTCCCTATATGATGGAAGACAGTGTATCTTGCATATCAATAGAAACAGAAGAATGTGAGGGATGACAAAAGTGTTTCTGAAAAGAATTACTTAGAATGCAGACACATCTAAACATGCTACACCATAAAACTTCAAACAGAAGGAAGCACTTGAAGACAGTTAAGTGACTTTACCTTACTAAATTGTCTATTACACTTAGTGTACAGTCTATCAACAGGCTAAGTATTGGCGCTAATAAGCAGATAAGGCACAGCAGACATTTGGACAAGTAAAGTTCAGAGCAGACTTTTCATGGTATTGTCTACACTCAGCACTAAGATTCTGTTGCTGAGAAACCAAAGCATATCTTGAGCAGAATTTTAGACTGCATGCTCAAAACCTTCAGCCCAGTGCGTCTTTAATCTGTGACCCAAGACAGTCTATGCTGTTCACAGTTACCTCGGAGATGCTTGGATTGGAAATTCTGTTAGAGTAGAGCTGCAAGACTTCTCAACATGCAGCCTCTTCAGACACTAGGAACAGAAAGAAAATTACAGTGTGTCATCTTCTGGAATCATCAAGTCAGACCTGAACACCCACATCCAAATTTTCCACTTTGTCATGATCCAGCATAACCACAGACAAGTTCTTGCAGTTGGTCATTGCCTCTGCTTGGAGGGAAGCAGCATGAAAACAGATTACCTATGGTCACACAAAACTATACATACAATTTTTCTATAGGGTCAAACCTTTTAAAATAAATGTTTTTAAAGGTCTAGGATAAAACATTTCCTTTCCAGAAAAAAAGGCCCAGAAAGAGCCACAATGATCAGAGAATGTAGTTTCCTTTAACACCAAAGCCAAATGAGAAAGGGTAAGATGTGGTAAGAACACAGGTCATTAACCAGTATACTACTCCAAACAATTTTCCTGCTCCTTCCTGTCAGAAAAGTAGAGCTCTGCTGGGTTTTGTCCAGTTTCTTCAATGACATCCAGTCAGGACATCCAGTCCTAAAAGCCTGCCAACCCTTCTTCCCTGCTTTCTCTGTGAAGTCATCTGTTCTGTACTCTTGCCCTGAACTCCCAATGCTGACCTACCTGCTATTTTGCTTCTCCAAGGAAAGCAACTTATAATTTAAAAAAAGAGGGGGGGGGAGGGGAAAAAAAAAAAAAAAAAGAGATGCAACACTTCTGTGAAGACTCCATGCCAAAGTAGCTCACTGGATTCTGAATCCCTGGAGATCAGCCAGCTAATGAGGCAGTGCTGCCTAAAGTATAGTTATTTTCTCCAGTAATAAATAAGAAGAACTAGGACTTGAAAGGATGCCAACCAACAAAGAAAAAAGTCTCCCAATTAGCCCAGGTGATTACCGGAGAATCTGCAGGAGACAATGTTGATTCTTTGGAATTGGCCATCAGAAAAAGGCGTGGAGGCTTGGGTGGTGCTTCATCAGCAAGTGTAAGCTCAGCCACAGGGAAGTCACTGCATTTGTAAGACAAAATTGAAGGAGATTGCCTTAGGGCAGAACACTGCACACAGACACCTTTGAATCACCTTGGCTATATAAGCAAAGTTTTGCTCAGTCCAATACACTGGACAACGGGACTCCCTGATTCACACCACAAGCCTGTGAAGTATCAACAAGATGTGCTCTCCTAAATTAATGAAAAGAAAATGAGGTATTAAGTTGGTTATGCTTAGACTCACATTCCAACACTAGCTCTCCGATACTATAAAATTAATGAAACATAGGTGTGTAGAATTAAGTCACTATGGTCAAGAATTTAAAGGAAGTCTTGATTTTAATAACCTCACAGTAGTTGACTTGATTTTTTTTTCTTTTCTAGATCTTGTGAATCAGTGGGAACAGTCTCTTTCAGAGAACGACCAATTCTCTAAAAACTAATTCCAACAATATATAAAAAAATATTATTTAGAAAATTTTCTTCTACAGCATATTTAAAAGCTTACTTATATACCTTCTGAGTGCTACATTATGCTAGCAGTTGGGGTACACGTAACCTCATGAAAGAGTACATTTTTACAACAACAATCACATTGTGACCTTGCACAGAGTTCAGTTACTATACTGGTAAAGACAGCGCAAAACAGTACTTTTTTTGTGTATATAAAATAACTTTTGAAAATCTGCTTTTAGATTTTGGGATTTTTTTTTTTTGGTTGATTCGGTTTTTTGTATTGCAGTGTTTACTTATCATCACTTTTATTCCCACAGATCTTACTGCAGATAAAAAGAAAGCTGCTGAAGTTCCCCTGGCCCTAGAACACACTGCTGCTTAGGACAGCAATTCTGGAAATCAGCCCCACTGCTAATAATAAATTTGAGCTAGCCACAGTGTATTGAACACCCCACTAAAACCACATCGTTTCAGGCAGCATTGGCTTTTCTTAAAATCATGAATTGAGTTCCACAGATACAATTTTCACATCAATATCTTCCTCTACCTTAGTAAGATGCAACAGAATTTTAAGATCTATCCTACATCTACTGCAGAGTGTCATCCAGCAATGCTCAGAACATGACTTACCTACTCAATTTGGACACTGAATCAACATGACTTTGTGGGGGAACAGGAGAGAAGTTTGTGTGAATGGGATCATGAAGTGGGGGACTCAGAGCACTCATGGAACTACACGGAGGGAGGAAACTCATCATCAGGCGACCCCAAGCAGCAACATTTATGTTCATTTGAGGAGCTCGGAGAAATTCTTTTCCTGGAGGAGTCAGAGTCAAAACACCAGTGAGATTACAACACACAAATTACAATCTCACATACTGATAAATTATCGATTTTGCCCAAACACCCATGGGTTACTCAAAAAGGTAGCCCACCCTAGGGAGAATGGGCTTCTTTCAGGTAAGAAAGCTTAATAATGATGATGATGAAACAGATCTACTATTTCATCTAAGTCCAGCTCCATATAACATAACAATCGTCAAGTAGAAACTGCATAAAACATTAAAAGTTGCTTTTATTTTAAGTGAGGCTTTCTTCTATTTCAACACTGCATTTTAATCATCTGGCCTGTTAACAGAAAGTTTCTGAAAATGTCTCAAAAAAGTGTAAAACGTTTATTATGTTTTCATTATTTCTACTACTTCCTGAGGAGTATAAATATAAAATCCCATTTATCTCCACTGCCAAGAGTTCTCAGTATGTAAAGTCTTACCTTATTCAGCTTCACAAGAAAGAATTTGCAGACAAAAAAGAAAGTATGCAAGTTATTCCAGTCCCTAAACTATTAATCTGAGATGCCAGCTCTAAAGACTTGACAATCAGTAGCCAGTTCATGCTACAGTCATCTATAATTCAGAATTTTCCAGAAAGTTCATCAGTAACAGCATCGCTGGTTAAATTAGCATGGCTTGAGTACTGGATCTTGCTAAGAAGTCTCTTAAATAACTAGTAATTATATCTTCCTAAATATGTTAATTGTGAATAGAAATACCACAACAATATCACATTACACACCACACTACAGCCAGGCTGCCTGTGCTTTATGTGACTGAACAACTTTCACATTCTAATAAAGCCCACCTACTTACACACACTAATTAGCCATCATTTTAATGTCTCACAAATGTAATGGGATAGGAGTGCATGCCAGCCTACTTGTGCAAATCCCTGACCTCACCTACATACCCTAGACAGTAAGCAGTCAGTTCTCCAGCAGCTTACCTTTCTGTTTGGGGAAAATGCGTTTCTGTCGCTGCAGTTTTGGCTTTCTCTCAATGACAGGATTACAGAACATCACCTGTCAGAGAAGCAAAGGGGATTTGTCAGATTCCTCGTTTACACTGTGAGCACAAACTTTCACACATGCCTGCTCTCTCATCAAATTCTCCATTCATATGTGTTTGGTAAGTTAGGAGTCACTCCCATAGACTCTGGACTGCATTATTCTAACTTCACCCTCTAAATATCTGTTATTTCAACTGTGGTTTTAGATGTTGGGATTTTCTGCTAAATGAAATGCAGAAAGCCCCCAGAATTAAGATAAATTCATATCTCAAACAAAATTAATCTAATTTGTAAAGCCATGCATAAAGAACACAGCCATTTGTAGGGTAAAAAAAGGAATAGTCTGTGGCACAGAAGTAAAAATCAAAAACACAGAAACAACCCCCACAAGACAAAACCACAAAAAACAAGGAAGGGAAAGGAGGCAAATTTTGGTACACGAGGCCAAGATCCTACTTTTGGAAAGATAACCACAGGAACTTTCATCACAACACAAAAAAGAAAGTACTGTGGCTTTTAAGGGACTATCTGGATGATCTCTTCATTGATGGTACTTCAAACTATTATCAGCCTCAGAAAGACAATAAAATAAGCATACCCAGAGGGAATTTGGATCTCCGATTCTACAGTCTCTGTGATTCAATTCTGACCATCAAGTCATATGTTTAATTAAAGTGTCACTGATGACTCATAATGAAACCAAATAAAAACCAACGGACTTCACAGCGCACACATCTATAATTACAGTGGAGCAGCTGAAGAGTCACTCCAGGCTATGGCATATGTACATCTATTATATCATGTTGTTCCTTATTCTTATATACGATATTGATGCAAAAGGATTTCGGGTGTCATTCCACCCTTCTAGATCATTGCTCCTTCCATTCCATGTATTCTGGGTTGAACAACTGCTTTCAGGACAGGCACCCTAAACAGACAGAGTTCTCTGAAAAAGAAACAAAGCTGACATTTATACCTCTGCAAAAAGCATTCCTTGGGGTTCGAGTGAGAGGCACATCCCATGACGTTCATTATCAAGGAAATCATCCAAACGTAAAAACTTCACTGCACATAGTTCTCTCCAGTCTCTCCAATAAATTGCAATTTCGAGCTCACGAGACTGGTGGGATGGGTAAGTGGTGGGGGAGGGAGAAAAAAAACCAAGAGAGTTACATACTGCCTCATGCTCTGGCAATGGTACACACATGCTGTTGTAAAAATTCAGTAAACTAAACAGTATGCATAAGAAACTTCTTTAATCCTTCTGTTCCCTGCTTTCTCTGATGTTTTCAGGTCTTCCTAGCTAAAGACCTTCTTGGAAATGGCTGTCTTGGCTCCCCATTTCAGAAATCCTTGGGAAAGCCACTTTGCTGGTAAGACAAAATAAAACTGCTCAGATAAGGACGGAAGGACAACAGATGCTGTTCAGGCTGAATCTCTGCCAGAGATGCACTGTCTTCAGAGGAAGACTAAGATAACTGGCACATAAAAGGACATGGGGACAGCAGCAGCACAGAGTTGAATCAAGTGGAATGGCAGCTAGATGAGCAAATCAGGTAAGGTGAAATGGAAAAACAAACACAACGCAGGGAATCTCGGGCAGACTTACCCGGTCCAGCTCAACGACAAAGCTCTGGTCCCATGCCTGGTTATTAACTGGTCCCCAGTTTGTTTGGCCAACCACTTTATTGTCCACTTTGAGCACAGCAAGGACCTCGTCTGGACAAAGGAGAAGACGTATTATAATCTTCAACCAAAGAAAATATCTCACGTTGAAGATGAATATCCCAATCAAATATAATTTTCAGGAGAGTACTAGGAGGACTAGGTATAGTGTGATTCATTTTCTCTCTTAGTTTCACAGAAACCAGGTTTCTTGTAATTAGACTCATACCAGGCTAACCTAGTAACATGATGAGAAGCCCCCACGCTCCCATATGACACTCACAATTCAACAGGGAACCCCATACTCACTACAAGGCTCTTCATTCCGCAGGTACTTTCCTGCAACACTACGGCCAACTCGTGTTCGGGAAAGGGACCTCAAATCACTTGGGCTGCCACAGATGGGAGAAGAACTAGTCATTCGGGAACGTCCTGGAACATTTTCCAATAAATCCTGACACCCCATCAGTCTCACTTCCAATGTTCCTGAGGAATTTTAGGAGAGTAAAGAATATTATTATATAAATGATGAAGTGATTCCAGTCAGCCTGTCCTCGCAGGGGTCCAAGAATTTCTCAGATTCATGATTTCTTGGTTAATAGCTCAAATCTACCCCAGATTAATAGGCTGCACATCCGTATGATCAGAAAGCTCTGGCTGGTCTAGAAGAAATAAATCAATTTCCTAGAAAATCAAATGCCCCTATAGGAAGAGGCATTCCAACAACGACAAGAAACACAACTTGTTTTTCTCTCTGCCCTCCTCACAATAACATGCCATGCAGGATTTATGTACCTGTAAGGGCTGTAGGTTTGATGACTGAAGTGGGTTGGATGCTGCCATGCTGAGCTCCCAGGGAGGAAGTATTTACCAGTTCCTGCTTGATGAGTGCTCTTTTTGGGTGATCAGGAGAAAGCTCAGTAAGCTGATGTTCCAAGGACAAGCGCAGCAGGTCAATCTTCTGAGAGGACTCTTGCAAACAACCCTGAGCCTAGCAATATGAAAGAAAGCAGGCAGAAATTTTCAATGTACAGTTCCACCCTGGGTACAATTAATCTTTGATGAACTACCAGAGTAAGCTTCAAAAAAAAAAGACCAGATAACATCTTACTAATAAAGGAACAAGATTAAGTATTTTCCCGTAGATCCTGACCACCCCATCAGCATCGCTTCTGATGTTCCTGAGAAATTTCACCAAAGCAAGGAATGTTATCCCTAGGAGGGAAAGTGATCTCAATCAGTCTGTCCTCACAGAGAGACAGGAACTTCCCAAATTAATAACTCTTGGTTAACTCTACTCATTCATGCTGGATCAGTGATGTTGAGGCATGAAGCCACCCTCTCAAGAAGGCCTGAATAAGTGCTTACCTCAGCCAAAAACTTGCGATCCTGTACCCGACTCCCTCCTAGGATCTTCAGCACATTTTTTGCCCCCTCAGCTACAGCAGCTTCAATGCGCAGGTGATGTCTCAGCTCCTCAATACGCAGCTCCAAAGCACTGATGGTGGTCCCCATTCTCACTGGCCATTTTGGAGACAAAATATGAACAAGGATGAAAATTGACTGAGTATTCTGGATCCTGGGGATTTGGACACATCTGTTCCGGGCTGCGTCAGCTATTTAAAACACCTTACCTGCTGGATCCACTGTATCTTCCATCCCTCCTGCTGACTGAGATACTTTCACAATGTGCATGCGTATTATTTCAATCTTTGTCTTGCTGTCCTGAAGCATCTGTTGAGCTGTAGCCAGCAGCTTCCGCTCCTGCCAAAACCAAAGCACATGCAGAGAGAAAACCATGCTCATTAAAAACGTATTACGATGATGTGTTCACACATGAGGATGAGGTGGTACCTGCAAGAAGGGTCATAAATGATCCTGAAATGGCATACATAAACAGTTACGTAAAGGAGACATCGCTGAGGATCAAGGACTTTGAGATCACTATCTCCATTTGTAGAGGGAAAGGACGGGTCAAGGACATGTCCGGTTAATACCAAACCTTGCAGTCACTGAGACTTGTGGTTCACTGGCCAACTGTGCTTACAGTGTTTTGTGAACAGAGGTTTTGAACAAATGAAAATGTCACAACCCTCTACACTGCTGGTCTTACTGAATTAAGCTTCATAATAAGCTTGGATTTTTTTAATTATCCTTTGACTTTTAAATGTGATTGTGCTAAACTCAAAAAGCGGGATGAATATGAAACCAGTACACCTCTGAGAATTTTTTGCATATGCTCTATACTGAACAAGCTAGTGATATCAAAACATCACACCAACTCGGCATACAATACCAATGCTTTTTAAATTTTCTTTCCTCAAGTCAGTGACTGAATGGACCTCTTATACTGTCCTCACTACCTTCCCAGGCTTGCAACAGTTTTTTAGAAATAGCACTCCAATCATGCCACTTCCTATGAGATACTTTTCTCTGCCTTTAATCTAGAGTCACTGAGTATTAATGTTAGATGCATTAACATGTCTATGTTGGCATTCAGCCAGCTAAGTTAGCATCTAGACTGAAGAACTAACATAGAGTTTGCAGCTGGTAGGGAGAAGTAGGTCTCTCCAAAGGGCCATTCATCTGTTCAAGAATGAGAACACAAGTTACTCTCTAGGTACCTAGCACTTTCCACTGAGACTACAGAAGGACTTACACAGCTAAGTTAAAACAACATGATTCCCAACTCTATCATTAATACCACTAAGCAACATTCCAGAGCAGAAGCACAATCAGCATCTACCATGTAAGAACTGACAAAAAGATCAAAACTGCCAGACTACGCCTGTCTGTCCAGTCTAATAACTCCCCTCTAACAGTGATTGCCACCAGATGCTTTGGAAAAAGGCACAGACAACCACATCATGGGCCAAAGTGGAATAAACTATACTTTCAGAAAAGCCTTTTCTAACATCCAGTAATTATAGATTGGCTTAAGCTCTTGATAAGTTAAATATGTACCATCCAACTCCTTGTTGATTCCTGCTAAACTCCTGAAATCTGTTAACATGCAAATCTAATGCGTAATGGGAGTACTGATTGCCCTGTGCAGTAACATGACATGCTGTCACTATGCTGAGCACCAAAATACAGACCTAGGATTCAGTCAAGCAAGCTTTGCAAATTAATTTCTTTCACACATCAATTACCTGAGAGAGTTTGTGTATGGACTTTAAATATGAATTTTGATCCAGGAATCCATGTTCCCAAATGGCTGTTTATTCCTGCTTACCTTGGATGTTGAATACATTTGGATCATGTTCTCAGCTCCTTGTTTCACTTTCATTTCAACATGAAGCTGCTTTTTCAGAGCTTCAACCTTCCTTGCCATGGGGTCTGGGTTTCTTTCCCAGAGGCAAGGATCTGGAGATACAGATCCATCTGTACAAACAATACAATCAATACTATTAGTCATTTTTTCTTGTGTCATTTCACTGGGTTATAGATGGGTGACTCTATAGAAGGTTAGGCTATAAAATAAGGTACAAAAAGGTCTTGTCTGCAAAACTGGCTGCAAAACACTGTTTCAAATGAAGCTCTAGCTCATATCTGTAAATATTTCTTAGTTTATCAATGAACCCGTCCTAACAATCACTCTTCCAATTTTTTACTCATTCATCCTGTAAGATACTTGGATGTTCGACTGCCCAGAAACTGTTCAAATCTCTTCAATTCCACCTACAGCATGTTTCTGAATATTGTCCACGCCTAGCACTCTCAGCTGGTCTTCTCCCTACACTGATCTCTCGTGTTGCCTCCTTTCACCTTTACTGCCCCATTCTCCACTTTTTACTGCACAGATTACCTCATCAGCTAAATACCAACAGGAGAAAATCCTGCTACTTGTGAGTCCTCAACAGAAAAATATATCAGTTCAATATATATAAATATTGGAGCACTATAACACAATTTTCCTGCCAATCATCACCCAATACCTACCTGTCTTACTCTCCTCTTTGTCTGTTATTACAATCCTTGCATTAAGCTCCTGAAGTTCCCAATGCAGTTGCTCCAGTTTTCGGTTGGAAGATTTCAGCACATGCTCTATATGAACAAGATTCTTTCTGTCTGTTGTCGCTTTGCGCAGGTTTTCTGCTCCCTCTTTAATTTTCAGTTCTTTCTGTATAGCGCGACGAAGTAGCTCCTTCTCACCCTCCAGTTTTTGCTGGAAGCTTGGATCCATTAAGTTCACACCATTGCCCAGCTGCAAGAGACAGCTGCCCTGCAATCAAGCAGTGTTGGGCAAGAGGATTTCAGAGATAACACAGTTCAACCATTTTTATGATATAGCAATACCCTCATAAGATTCCATTCCTTCATTTCATTTAGAAACTGCTTCACACAAATTCTGAAGCCAACCTTTTCACCAAATTTTCAAGAAGACCAGACCTACATTTACATTGCAGAGGATGGAAGACAACTTTAACCTTAACGTGCCTTAATTTGGTTTTAAACCATAATGGAGAAAAAACCTTTATCTTACTTGTCTCCTTGTTATTTAATGTCTACACACATCTTTGTCGTCCAAGTATCAAAGCCCAGCCAATATCTGCCCTTGTTCTGACCAATGTTAACTTTTACTAGTATGATGTAGTAGATACAGATTTTTATCTGAATATGTCTTGGTGCTGACTATTCAACGACACATCTCAACTAACCTGTTAGAGATTTTTAGGAATGTCACAAGCATGCATTAACTCTCAGCTGTTACCCCTGAAGAAGAAAAATGTAAAAGCTGTTCCTACAAATAAGCAAACAAAAGGGTAAGTTTAACTTTCTGCTGTGTCTGAAAAGGGAACCAGACTGTTGTCTCAATCTCTATTCTGCTTGTGATTTACAGGCAGTAAAGCTGCTTTAAAACATCAATTATTTTGAGTTGCATTAGTAGCATTCAAGCTTGTTCTGGGCTCTGTTTTACATCATTTTCAACACTACTTCTTCTATATGCCTCATCAACAGCTCTGGACAGAGATGCTCTGATTACAGACTCTGGACATACACAGTACAAGCAGCAGAGGTGTATCTCACTGACCAAGGAAGGACTGAAATCAGACAGGAGCCGCAAAAGCTACCTAACACCGTAACAAACAGATACGAGCAAGAGGTTATGCTTTTCTCTTCAACAGGAAGAGTGGCTTTAAGGCATTCAGAGCAATTAATATATTAACAACATATTAATAGATATATTAATTATTATATTAATAACATATTAATTGATATATTAATTAACTCAACATTAATGACTGCAAAAGAAACAGTTGCACAGTGAGGCTCCACTAAACTAACTGACAATGTCACACAGCACGTCAGTGACTAAAGGCAGAACTCAGGAATCCTGACTTGCTTTCACACTCTTTAATCTACTGACCACATTTCCAACAATAAACCGCACTGGGTTTGTGTTACTCATGTACATTACTGCACTTTAAGAGTGTGCTATGCATCCAACCCCTATGCTACTCAAACAGAAACAACTATTTAATCACATTAATATCTTTTGTTATGCACCTCAAAGACCCAACCAGCCAGCCTCGATCATTTTTTGCCACAATTTCAGTCCAACAGCAAAATAATCAAAGAAGAAGTAAAAATCTATTTTAAAGTTGGCCTAAAACCAAGTTGGGTCTGCAACAGATACACAATAGCCAAAATAGGAGTTGTTCAGATTGGTAACAAAACAAAAAGGTTCAGATTAACATCCTGATTCCAGGAAGTTCTCGCCCAATTAGTAAAGCCAGGAACTAAGCCAGAGCTTTGAAAAACATCCAAAGTTTTGTGAGGAAGAACTGGAATCATGGAGTTCCTGAGTCACAGGCAACCTTTAGCAGCTGTAAGTTGGAAAATCAGAAAGCTTTTTATCCAGTCTATAGCAAGTGACTAAAAGGAGTTTGTTGGTTGCAACTCTCATTTAAATAATTAGAAAAAGCATACAGATTTATTTTCTATCCAAACTATGCAAATGAGTGTAAGTAATCTACCTGCATGATCCGCCCAGAGCAATGGAATGAGTAGTGCTGCAAGAATAATGCCAATAAAGGGTACTGAGTACCTGGGTATTGATTCAGAGAACAGGTATAGTCTGGGCAGTTCTCAGCTCAATTTTCCTCCACACCACTCTCTGCCAAAACCTAGTCTGAATACCAGTTAATACACCATACCAAGCATGGTATGTTTTACCAGATCCTTCTTCCCCTCTGTGGATCACAGCGTGCCATAACATTGACATTGTTTGCACCAGGATAATAATATATTACTGAGGATGATGAGAAAGCTGAATTTGCATTTGTGTTGATCCATTTTGCATTCTGACTCAGGAATTTCAATGGGGTGTTGGGGTACTGCCACAGCCTGTGCTGCAGCTGTTCTTGGATTCCAGGGAAGGTCAGTCCTTCAGAATACATCTCCAATGCAACCCCGAAACACATCTATAGTTTGCAGAGAAATAGCCACACAAGCTTAAATTAGCTTGCTTATGGTACTTGTAGTGGGCCTGCCAGAACTCACCCAGGGCTTCCGCTAGACTCGCATCGTACTGAAGTGTCTAGACTGCTTCCTAACTAGCAAAAATTTCAGCAGTATCAAAGTTCCACTTAGTCCTTTGGATGGCAGCCCAGGGAGCTCCCATCACCTCAATTATGCCCAGCCTGAGCAATGAGCTTCACCTGCACAAAGCCTAGAGCAGACTCGGCCCTTAGAGTTTCACCACTGACACAGAAATTGATTTACAATTTGGTTTAATGTGCTAGCGAGGCCACCCCCCCTGCAGACCACACGTGTGCACCAAGACATTTTAAATCATATCTTCCACGACAACTCTGGGCTGCAGAAACGAGGCCTGCGTCAGACAAGACTCACGCTAGCCACATTCACTCTTTATGAGAAAAAGCTACTACAAGGTTTGGAAAAAGGCGATTGCGATCCTGTCTGGAGCCAGTCCCCTTTCCAACTCAGCTATGCAAGGGCTGCTAAGGGTAGAAAGCAGGGAGCCCAGGAGGCACTGAGACGGGGAGAACCCGCTCAGGCCGCAGCGCTGGCAGCGAGCGCTCTTTGTGCCGGTCTCTCCATCCCTTCTTTCCCAGATTAGGCTTGAAACGCCTCAAGGAAAGAGGGCTGGGCGTCTCCTCCGCTCCGGGGAGTTTATTCCACAAATGAGTGTTTTTCCCAGCGCGGAGGCTGGCTGCCCTCCCCCGGCTCCCGTGTGCCAGCCCCAGCAACCGCCTCACCTCCCACATCTCCTCAATGCCGAGAGGGGATTTCCCCAGCGGGCATCGGCTTGGCCCGAAACCCATTTCCCTGAGGCGAGGAGGGACATTTTTAGGGTTCCCACCTGCTTCGCACAGCCTCTCCAACCTCCCCGGGGCGCGGCCGCCGCGAGAGG